ATCTCCCACACTGTCTTCTTCTACTTCCATTTCCATTTCCACGTAAATTGATTATGCCAGAGGCCAATCTTTTTTGATAATTTCCTCTCTCATAGGCTACCAATTACTAATCATTACCTAGTTCTTATGATTTTATCTCTAAAATATTATAAAACCACGCACTTCTATCTCTGCTTTCATCATCCTAGTCCAAGCTGCCACTACACATCCTGATAATAGCACTCGGTTATTAACAGGCTTGTCTTCCTCCACACTCCATTCTCTAATGAAGACCATTTTCAAACATTAATTTGAAGATGTTGATCATCTGGATACAATCCACCAATGGCTTCTCACTGCCCTTGGGATGAAATTCTCACTATATGGTATTTGTCTTTCAAATATTTTATTTTTATACATCTGGGTACATATATGTATCTATATGTTTGCACATGAGTGCATGTGCCCATGGAGGCCAGAAGAGGGCATCAAATCCCTTACAGCTAGAATTATGGGTGGTTGTGAGCCACCTGGCCTAGGTGCTGAGAATCACACTCAGGTCCTCTGTAAGGGCTGAATCATCTCTCTTGTCTATGGTATTTTCTTTTATTGAGTTACTGCCTATCTCTGTTGTGGAATATTATTTTAACTAGGTAAAGATGTGTTACATTTGTTTATGCTACAAAATATTACTTTAACTGTGTAGAGGTGTGTTACTTTTGTTTATGCTGCATTTGTTTAACAATGTAAGGGTGTATGTTTAATTATGTAAAGATGTGTTGCATTTGTTTCACCTTGCCTGCCTAAAGCACATGATTGGTCTCATAAAGAGCTGAAAGGCCAATAGCTAGGCAGGAGAAAGGATAGACAGGGCTGGTGAGTAGAGAGAATAAGTAAGAGGAGAAATCTAGGCTCAAGAGAGAAAGGCAGAACAAGAGAAGGAGGAGGAGAGAACAGGGAGGTACCCAAGGCCAGACAGGCAGCCGCCAGCCAGAAAACGTGAGAAGCAGTGAAAGTAAGATATACGAAAAGAAGGTAAACAGCCCCGAGGCAAAAGATAGAGAAACAGGTTAATTCAAGTTAAAAGAGCTAGCCAGAAATGAGCCCAAGATAGGTTGAGCTTTCAAAACTAATAATAAGCTTCTGTGTCAATGATTTGGGAGCTGGTTGGTGGCCCAAAAGAAAAGCCTGGTACAATTTTGTTTTTATTTATTGAGTTATTGCCTATCTCTTTCCATGTTTCTGAAGCCGCTCCCTGTGCCTCCTCCCCTGATCACAGAACAGATACTCAGAATATACCAAATGATCTTATCTTACCCACTTCCTCCTACCCTCCACTTAGATAACTTCTAGTCAGTTTTCAGGTTTTCGCTCAAACAGTCTCCATAGGAATGCACTCCCTGGCTAGCCTAACCTTACCTAGGGCTCCACTGTTTCCTTTCATGACATAATGTTCTTTTTCCTCACCACATTTATTACAGATTGTATTAATGATAGTCAGTCCCTTTCTACATCCTATACCAGGAGAGCTCCCCTCTCCTTAGCAACTAGAAGAAACAGAAAAAAAAAAATGATTGATTGACAAGCTTCTTAGCTCTCCTTTTGAGAAATAATCTAATTAGATCTTCCCTTTGGGTGATTAAGCCCTAAACAAGCTGATCAAGAGATCACACTTCCAGCTCCTCCTTTATCATGTAATTGTATTAAGTCCAGGCTTACTACCAAGCTGTTGCTTGCAAAGTCTCTAGCGTCTCTCCAAGAACATATAAACCAATGTATGCTTTTACGAGAAAAAGTTATGTAAATGTATGGATGAGGAGATGACTCAGTCAGTAAAGTACTTTTCATTACAAGTCCTGAGTTCAATCTCCAGAACCCATGCATAAAGAAGATGAGCACAGGCTGGTGAGACAGCTTAGCGGTTAAGGGAACCTGCCACCAAGCCTGATGATCTAAGTTGACCCCTGAGTCCCATATGGTAGAAAGAGAGAACCAATTCTTGCAAGTTGTCTGTGACCTCCACACATGTCAGGAACATGTACACATGTACACACACACACACACACACACACACACACACACAAATAAATTAAACTAACTTAAAAGGTTTTTTTAATTCTTGGAACAGGGGCAAATACTTGTAATCAGCACTGGGGAGATGGGGACCGGAGGATTCCTAGGGCTCACTGGCCTGCCAACCTAAGCTAATGAGAGCCCGTCTCAAAAACAAATGACAGATAGTTCCTGAGGACCAACAGCTCAGGTTGCCTCTGGCCTACACACACATATGAATGTGCATGTACTTGCACAAACATGGACAAATACAACATGAATACATACATATATATATATATATATATATATATATATATATATACACAAAGAAAAATTTAAACTATGTACATATATGCACATTATCAGACACTAGCTGAATTTTTATTTCACTGGTCCTTATACTTACCATTCTAGGTTGTTGTTTGAGACATGATCTCAATATGTATCTTTGGATGATCTAGAGCTCACTACATAAACCAGGCTGGCCCCGAACTCACAGAGATCTACCTGCCTCTGCCTCCTGAGTGCTAAGATTAAAGACATGGGCCACCACATCCAGCTTGATTTTTTTTTTAATGTGTGTGAGTCTGTTTTCTTCCAAATTATTACCTATTTTTTTAAACTTACTGATACATTGTGTGATCTATTTTATTTCTTATAACCAAATTTCTCAAAGTCATATCATCATTATTTGATACATCTATTATCTATCTGACACATTAAATTGTAGTTTCTATGAAGGAAGGTTGATCATATTAGTTCATCATCTTTTTTGTTTTGGGGGAAGTTGTTTGCTTCATCATTTTGTTTTGTTTGTTTTGTTTTGTTTTGTTTTGAGATATGATTTCTCTGTCTGTGTAGCCTTGGCTGTCCTAGAACTCACTTTGTAGACCAGGCTGACCTCAAATTCACAGATCTGCCTGCCTCTGCCTTCTGAGTGCCGAGATTAAAGGTGTGTGACACCACACCCAGCCCAGTTCATCATTTTTCTTTGATATTTTGTTTTATCTATGTGTGTGTGTGTGAATGTAAGTACAAACATGCTGTGGCATGTATGTAAATACAGGCCATGTATACCCATAGCATGTGTGTGGAGGTCAGAAGACAACGTCACCTTCATTTTTCTTTTTTTCCCCCCACTTTCTGTATATGTCAGGCTAAGTGGCTATTAAGCCTGCAAAGATTCTCCTGTCTCCACCTCCTATCTCCCTGTGTTTACATGTGTGTGCTATTGCATCCAATTCTATGTGAGCTCTGGGGATTTGAACTCAAACCTTCATACTTGTGGAAAACATTTTATCAACTGATCCATCTCCTTGGCCCTTGTTCATCATTTCTTGCACCTATATTGGACACATCATATAAGTCACTAAGAATTGCTATGAAAAGAGTAAGTTAGCAAAGTGATTCAGTGGCAGACTGCGTGGTTAGCATATATAAGGCCTTGGGTTCAATCTCAAACCAAAAAACAGAAGAAAGAAATGAGTTCCTATCTCATCCATCCTAACCTTCATTCCATCAAAGAGTAATGTCTTCAGCCTTCCAGATGAAGAATAAATTCTCTGGCTCTTCCCAGTCCTATCTCTTTCCCTCCCTCGATAAATAACTATCCTTTGGCATATAAATGCCCGCTTCCATTGGGGCATTGCTTTTATTTGCCCATGTTACTACTGTTGTGTTGTGTTTCCACTTTTCATGTGTGTTCAAAGGCATGCCCAGGTGTTTGTACAAGCTAGGAAACTGCTCTACCATTGAGCTACCTCCCAACCCTCTCCTTTACAATAAAGTTACACATACAATAAAGGCAGCACATGCCTGTAATCTAGCCCTTGGGAGGGAGAGGCAGAAGGATCAGGAATTCAAGGTCATCCTCAACTACACGGTAAATTCAAGGCTAACTTGGACTACATGAAACACAGTCTCAAAAAAAAAGGTAAATATAAAAAGAAAAACCATACTATAATTTTCACTTCACTCCCTTTTATCGACCATTTTCCCCCTCTTAATTTTCACATCTAAACTAATGGTGGGGGTAGGGGTGTGTTTATGTGTGTATACATGTGTACACACGCATGTGGAGGATATAGGTCAACATTGAATGTCTTTTTTTTTTAATGGCTTCTCCACCTTTGAAAAAAGTTTTGAAGCTGGGCATGGTGGCACACACCTTTAATCCCAGTACTCAAAAGGCAGAGGCAGGCGGATCTCTGAGTTTAATGTCAACCTGGTCTACAGAGTGAGTTCCAGGACAGCCAGGGCTACACAGAGAAACCCTGTCTCAAAAAAAATAAAACAGAAAAAACAAAAATTTGAGATGGTCTCTCACTGCACCTTGACTGTCTGGCCAGTGAGCCCCAGGGACTCTGCTGTCTCACCTCTCTAGGACAAGGACTACAGGAGTGCGCCATTATGTGGGTGCTTTTTATGTGGGTGCTAGTGATCTGTCACAGGTCCTCACTTGCATGGCAAGCATTTTAACAACTAAGTCATCTTAGTGCCAATTCTTAACCAACTATAGCCTGCCAGTCACCTTGTTCAACTCATACAGCAGCCATAACCGAAACCCTGATAGCTACTAATTCCGATGTACTTGAACATATTTAAATCCTCATCCTGACTTCTCTGTGGTTGCATCTGACATGGCTGGGTGTTCTCTCTTTCATGAAATTCTCTCCTTGCCTGACATTGTTACATCACCCTCTCCTAACTGTTCTGTTCGCTTTTTTGGCCACACCTTAGTTTTCTTCCTGGACACCATCTAAAGTATCAGACACAGAGTGTAGACTGTGTAAATAAATAACCAAACAGATGAAATCTTTCTCTTTCTTCCTCTTTCCATATCTTCTCAGAAGCAACTGTGAAAGATAAATTATATTATCTGTGGTTTCCTTTAACATCCTAGTCACTGTATATCTCCTCCATCTTGAATTTTCAGCCCAAGGTTTTCCACACTCAGCTGAGCTCACCAAAACCACCTTCCTCTTCTTTCTGCTGGCCCCTGATCTGAGAATGATCCTGAATCATTGTTTTCTGTTTGGCTTTCAGACTGCACTCATGTCCATCTTGGATTTTCTCATCTTCTGGGAAAATAAAACAAGACATTGTGACAGGATCTCTGTAGACAATAAAAAATAGTGATAGAATCACCATAAAGTTCCAAGCCTGGGGCAGAAAAATCTTAGCCTAACACTATCCCATCCTCTAATTTCTTCTTTTTTTTTTTTTTTTTTTTTTTTTTTTTTTTCGAGACAGGGTTTCTCTGTGTAGCTTTGCGCCTTTCCTGGGACTCACTTGGTAGCCCAGGCTGGCCTCGAACTCACAGAGATCCGCCTGGCTCTGCCTCCCGAGTGCTGGGATTAAAGGCGTGCGCCACCACCGCCCGGCTTCCCATTCTCTAATTTCTTGAATAAGTACTTGAACCAGGTTTCAAGGACAACTGACTTAGGCAGACAAGATAGCCATCCCCAGAAGCCACAGTGGAAGGAGAGAACTGACTCTCGCAAAAATTGTTCTCTGACCTCCACACATACACCATGGTATGTGCATGATAATAAATAATATTATTTAAATGTAAATAGGGTATCTGGGAGCTAGAGAGAGGACCCTAGTTTGGCTCTAGGTAGGCCCCACTTTGGGCAACTTACAGCCACCTGTAACTCCAGCTGCAAGGGATCCAACATCCTCTTCTGGTTTCTATACATACCCACATACACATGGTATACACTCACACAGACACTCATACATACACATAAATAGAAAATCTTTTTTAGCGGCCATATGATGATACTTACCAGCTTTCTTCTTTCTTTTGCTTGAAAAAAGTCTGTTGAATTTCTTCTTAGAGGGTTCAGTAACTGGCTGGCCTGACTTAGATGTCCTTGTCTCAGAGCTCACTTCCTCTTCCAGAGAAGATGCAATCTCTGGAGTATCAGGTACTATTACCTTTTCCCTGAGAGTGATATTGTTCAAATAAAAAGCTTTCAGAGAGACACTTGCAATGCCAATCCTTTGAAAGAGTCCAGGGGTTAAAAGTAAACAAGAATTCTAGACTTGAATAGGGAGATGTAACTCAGTGGTCCAGCACATATTTAGCATGCACTAGGAACTGGGTTCAATTCCCAAAAGACACATACAACTCCCAGGCCTCCTAAGGTCTCCTGAGGTCATTTTATCCAACTCCTTGCCTGTTTCCTTCCTAACTCTAACAGGCATCTTTCCTGAGCCAAGAGAGATCAATGTAAGTATAATAGATAACTAAATAGACAGACTGGAAGACAGGTCACAGTTTACCCATGTCACCTCCACCCTGTGTTCAACTTGTCCCTCTGGGATAAACTTACCCATCAGCATTTTCATTATCTGCTGAAGGAGCAATTCCTGGTTCTCTGTCTGATTTGGTAGGTATTATGGGTTGGGCACAGGAAGTCTCTGCAAAATTAAGGCCAGACCCCAACCCTTCCAAAACAAAGCATTACAAGCAGAGAAGACACAAAGGAAAACAAATGCTCTAGTATTTCTCAACCACAGCATTCCATTCACATATCTTACCTCTGTGCTTAGAAGAGTCTACCTTTGGTATTTTGTCACAGGATAGAACTTGAAATCATTAAAAATTCAAGAGAAACTAAAATCCTTATCTTTCTGCAAGCCTTTCCATATTGATCAGCCTCATTCCAGGGCAGCCACGTAATAATTTTATTGTATACATGTACTATATTTTATCTTATTTTTCCTCAAACTCCTATACGACAGCACTTTTTATTCTAGAAAACAAACCAAGGGCTGGGGAAATAGTTCAGTTGATAAAGTATTTGCCTTACAAGTATGAGGACCTGAGTTCAATCCTCATAACCCATGAAAATCACAACAAATCAAGTGTGGTGGCATGCGCTTGTAATCCCAGCACTGAGGAGACTGGGACAGGCAGATTCCTAAGATTCTTAGCAGCCTAGACTAGAGGAATTGGCTGGGCCCCAGGCTAGTGATGACACTGTCTCAAAAACAAGGTAGAGCCTGAGAAATGACAACTAAGGTTGACTTCCTGCCTCAATCCACACAAGCAGACACATGCATCCGTATGTGCACCTATATACGTTAGCACATATGGGTTGGGCACAGGAAGTCTCTGCACATCAGACACATATGAACTTGTGCATATACTTAAACACAGAGACATTAAATAAATAGTAATAAAAACCAAATCCCTAAAAAGAATCAAACCAGTATTACAGACATGGGCCAGCAAGATGGCTCAGCAGGTAAGGGCACTTGCCACCAAGCCTGATAAGCCCAGTTCAATCCCCAGGACCCACACAGTACAAAGAGAGAAGCTATGCCTACAAGCTCTCCTCTCACCTACACACAAACAAAGGCATGCATGCTCACTCACACACACACTAAACAATAAATAATAAGATGTAATTTAAATACACATGCACATAAAGTACATTCTCCAAATCTGGGGAAACTCTTTTCTAAGTAGATTGCAAACATATACGAGTAAATTAAAATTGCATTTGGAAAACTCAGGTGAGGCCATGTGGATCTGAAGTCAGTATCGCCTACTTTTCCAAGAGTTTTCTTTTACCTTTATCTTACATGATTTAGCACAGGCCTATTGACATTAATTGAAATCACATTATTGAAATTAAATATTTCAAGTATCATTTAAGATTTTCTCAGGAAGGCGGGAGAGAAAGAAGCTGTCGACTTATACTCCCCCTAGGATAACGGCCACTCTGCCTAACGGAAGGAAGCCTTTTCTCTTCACACCAGGCCATACCCAAGCACTCCTGCAGGGATTTCTGTAGTACACTCTGGAAAATCTCCTCAAATTCTGCGTTGGTAAGAGTTGGTTTTTCCTGCAGAGACTGGGGAAAGGAAGGAAAACTGCTTGTCTTTTCAGTTTCTCACCTCTGACCAGTCAGGGAAGCCTTGTTTACACAGAACAGCAGATGACAACAACCATAGGTATTAAGTCAATGGCATCAACGATTCCCCAGATCTCCTGGGGACAAGAGAGCTGGAGAAAAGGAAACTCTTCCGAGAGTCCTGCTCGAGTCTTTATCCCACCTTGTCCCATTATTTCTAGCTAAACGCTTTCATCAAAACTTGTTTGACACTGCAGCATGGTGGCACACATCTGTAATCTCAACACTAGGGAGACAGAGGCAGAAGAATCAGGAATTCAAGGCCAGCCTTGGCTACATGAGACTCCATCTCAAAAAACTAAAAACATGTTGGCTTCTTTAAGAAGAAACTGGAATTTTTTTAATGAATAAAAAAATGAATTTTTTTTAATGAATAATACTGAAAAACAGGAGATGGCTCAGAGGTTAAGAGCACTAGCTGCTCTTCCAGAGGTACTGAGTTCAATTACCAGCAATTACTTGGTGACTCACAACCATCTGTAATTTGATTTGGTGCCCTCTTCTGGCACCAAGTAGGAAGAACACTGTATACATAATAAATAAACAAATTTTTTTTTTTCTTTTTTCTGGAGCTGAGGACCGAACCCAGGGCCTTGCACTTGCTAGGCAAGCGCTCTACCACTGAGCTAAATCCCCCACCCAAACAAATCTTTAAAAAATATTGAAAAAGCTGTGTATAATGGCTTACATCTTAATTTCAACACTTGGGAAGCTGAGACAGGAGAATTACCATTGATTCCAAGCCAGCCTGGGGCTACAAAACAAGATCCAAGCCAGGATTGGCTACAAGACTCTGTCTCAGAACCAAGTGTTTTTTTATAAGATGAAGGCCAGACAGTGGTGACACACACCTTTAATCCCAGCACTCAGGAGGCAGAGGCAGATGGATCTCTGAGATCGAGGCCAGCCTAGTCTACAGAGGGAGTTTTGGGACAGCCAGGGCTACCCAGAGAAACCCTGTCTTGAAAAACAAAATACAACAAACAAATAGCCAAAAAGAAAAGAAGATGAGATGAACAATGGCAGAACAAGCCCACCACCCCAGGTATTCAGGTGGGAAGTAGCAGTCAAAGGGCTGCGATTCCAAGAGCAGCCTGGGAAACAGAAAGACCCTGTCTCAAAATTAAAAACAACACAGGTGTGGTGGTGCACACCTTCTATCCCAGCAGTTAGGAGGCGGAGATAAGCAGATTTCTGTGAGTTCGAGTCTAGCCTGGTCTACATAAGAAGTTCCAGGCCAGCCGGGGCTAAAAGACCCTAGGAATGAAAGTATAGCTCAGAAGTACGATGCTTGCCTAGCATGCATGGGGTCTAGGGCTCACTCCTCAGTAACAACCCCCAACACAAAAGGATCCGGGAAACAGAGCAGGAGGGACTGTCACCACAGTGGTGACACATACCTTTCCTTTCTTCTCAGCCGGCTTATCTTGAGCCTTTTGCTTTTTCTCCTGGCCCCCACTTGGACCATGCTCTGTGGCTGTCTTCTGCTCCCTCTTCTTTGAGCTGGCTTTCGGGCGGCTTGGCTTGGCCTCGGCCTCTGGAGAACTGGTCCCCAGGGTCTCCTCCTTCCATGACTTAGGCTGGGGTTTCACGATATGTGGTTTTTGTGTAGGTGGAGCAAAGGTTTTCTTTGTCCCCTTTTCAGATTCTGAAGGATCAAATGAAATTCAGGAAACTCATGTCAACAGAGACAGCCAAACACTGCCCGTGGAGTAGTCAAGTCAGAATTCGATGGAAAGAGCTTTTAACAAATCTACATCTCTCAGTCCCTCCCTGCACACCCCTTCCCCCTAGCCCTGAGATTATCTTTAAGCAGCTGAGAGTGAGACCCCGAAATTTGTAATTTGACAAGATCAGTTGGTTCTAACATACTCCAAGTTTTGTACCATTAATTCAAAATGATTAATACAAGCATGTAGGAAGGTGAATTATTCAAGTGTGAATTGATTTTTTTTTAAATAGGCTCATTTTAACTTCGTGAGAATAAGCTTTAAAAAAAACTATTGAGCATTTAGAAATGACTCAAAGCTTAATTCCCTTTTTTTTAAATCTATTTTTAATTTTAACTGATCAAAATGCACACAGGAATGTCTCTGAACTAAACAAAACACAATAAAATTCCCAAGGCCTAGTCTGATGCCATCTCCTCTATGAAAAGGATACTGATCCCACTAGGTATAAGTGTAATCTATTTCTTCTGGGCATCTATAACACTTTTTACTTCTCTAGTGGCATTCAGCGTATTTAACTTCATATTATAAATACATAAATGCATTTTTCTCCCTGTAAATTCTTTGAGCATGGCTGTTTTTTTAAAGATTTATTCATTTTTGTTAATTTATGTGAATATGTGTGAACTGTGTGTATGTGGGTGCCCATGGAGACCAAAGGGCATCCAGTCCCCTGGAGCTGGAGTTACAGGCAGCTGTAACTGTCTGATGTGGGTGCTGGGAACCACCCCTGAGTCCTCTGGAAGAGCAGCAAGTGCTCTTAACACTAAGCCATCTCTCCGGTCCCAAGCAGGACTGTTTCTAAGTCATATTTATTTTGTTCAATGCAACTAGGAAAATGGTAATTTGAACAAACTGAACAGATAACATGGGTCTAGAATTCCTCTTTGAAGGAAAGGATGAATGGAAGGGAAACGGGAGAGAAATATATGAAGTGAACGCCTCTCATCCTTGGCTCACCTTCATAATTCTGTAATGTTGCCATCATCCAGTTCAGAAACTACACTTTCCTTGCCTCTGTTTGAAGAAATTATTATACTTTGGTTAGACATCATTTAAATTTCCTTTTTTCCCCTGTCTTCTGGGATTAGATTTCTTTGTCTGGGACCCAGGACAATACTTCCACCTTCTTCACTCCATTCATACCCTACATCAGTACTGATTATGTGCCTGGGCATTCAGAGAGCTGCAGCTTTGAAGATAAGTAACAATGCTTGGTTTTATGTTTATTCAGTACTGGATATTAAACTTGGGCCTTTGTACATGCTGGCCAGGCAAACACTTCACCACTGAGCTATAGTCCCAGCCTTTTTTATTTGACACAGGGTCTCCGTAAGTTGCTAAGGCTGGCCTTGAATTCTTTTGGAGGCTTTGAACTCACTCTGTAACCCAGGCAAGCTTTGAACTTGTAACTAACCCTCCTGCCTCACTCAACAAAATAACTAGGATTACAGGTCTGAGACACAGGCCTCAGTATTTTGAATGCCTGATATAAGGCAGGCACTTAACTAGCTGGACACAGTAGCAGCAGTGATGGAAGCACTGGTAGTATTGGAGTAGTAGTGGTAGGGCATGGTCAGTGCTGGGGGTGAAAGGTGACTCTCTTCACAAAGTTCCCCCAAATACTTAGGACATGGATAACTTGGCAATTCTCCAACCTAATTCAGAGGTCCCTATGCAAAAAAAAACAAAAAAACAAAAAAAAACAAAAAACAAAGAACAAAAAACACTTTGTTTTTCTGCTATTTCAACATTCAAGCCAAAAAAAAAAAATTCTCAGAATACTTGATTCTACTGATTGTAGCTCAGAAACATGTGACAACCAGCAGGAGTCCTCTTAGCATCTTCTATCTTACTCTTCTACACTAAAACCTAGTAATGAAAACATCTTTGATCATCACAGTTCATCCTCAGGAATGGACTCTCAGTTGTCCTACACTAAATGTTTTGTTCTTCCTAGTCACTGACACATACTAAGCACAGACTATGTTCTTCTTTTACTATTTCTGCATCATCGCATTTAACTCTCACAGCAAATCTACGAGATAGACCCCAAGGTATACGGTGCCTTCTGTTAAATCACAAGATGAGTTCAGAAGGCACTGGCCACATTAAGCTAAATGCAAAGTGTTTTTAAATTATCCTCTGGCGTTTTCCCCGCTCCTTTTCATGTATCTGTATGTGCACACACACATATAAATAATTCAGGTGTGCTATTCTGAAGCAATTACTTTTCTTCTATAATAAGGAGCATATTTTCATACTGTTTCCATCTTAATTCATCATTGTTAGTCCCCATATACACTTGCTCCATTAAAAAAAAAAAAGGGGGCCGGGCGGTGGTGGCGCACGCCTTTAATCCCAGCACTCGGGAGGCAGAGGCAGGTGGATCTCTGTGAGTTCGAGGCCAGCCTGGTCTCCAAA